TTTAGAATACTTAGATTCTGCTCGATCGAGTGATGTAGAAACATTCATATGTTACTGGGCAAACCTGAGAAGACGGGTTTGAATATATCAAACCTATATTTCCATTGTAATGTATAATATCTATTGATCTATAATGATCAAAGATGAATGTGAATCAAATGAAAGCAAAAAATTCATATGTTACTGTGCAAAGATGAGAGCACGGTAGGCTCGGAGATAGCCACCCGTATTGTACTGAGAAAATAGATCTCCTCATTTACCCATAATTGCTCTGCAAAACATGTGATATTCTGAGAGTAGAGGTTCTGAGGAATCAAATGGTGCAAAGAAGTTCATATGTTACGGTGCAAAGCTGAGAGTATCGACAAGTTGAAGATCGTAACGCCTGTAACGCTGTATTAATGTATGCGTTGAGAGTAAGCTGTGGTGAGGTCGATCATGTATTGTTGCGGGTTTTCTTGATAGAATTTGAATAAAACAATGTTTAAATTAGATGAATATCTGAACTGATGTATAGTGATCAAATCAGATGTTGCCAAAAGACATCATATGCAAATGGGACCGATAATTTTGACATTTTTCTACACTGCTCAATTCGTTTGATAGAACTTCAACTGGAGGTTTGGTTGGTTCGTGTTGAAAGTGGTGTTCGCGGTAAATTTATCCCAAATAATGAGTGGCAGTTGGTTTTCTGGATTCGAGGATTTCGACGAAGATCTCGTTATGATACCTGAGGTGTGTTCCACTTTTCAACTGAGTTCTGTGTGGAATTTTCCTCTTGTATAGTGAGAAAATGGCTAGCAAATTGCAGTTTGTGTTGATTTGCGCATTATGTTTCATCCTCAACTTGAAAAATCTCTATTGTAGATTGTTGATATTGCAACAGAAAGATTTCTGCACGATGAATGTTTGTCGCAGCTAGCACTTGAGATCAGAATAGAGCCTCAATCAATGAATCGGAGACGAATGACTGTACGTGTGGCGCCGAAGGAAGAAGTTTTCAGCGTACGGTTCTGCTTCATACGATTCGTTGGCATTAAATGAATGTCATTCATCTCTGTCTGATGGTCATACACTCATGTGAATGCAAGTATCTTTTCAGAAGCCAGGATGTAACTGTGAAAAAATGAATCTGGAATTGAAACGACAGCATAATTTGCATAGGGCATTCGATAAAGTTAGAGAACACTTGGTCGAGGTGAGAACTTTATGCTGAATGCTATTTGTAGTGGACGCCGTTGTAGGCTTGTTAGTGAGTGGCGATAAACGAATGAAGTTATGTTACCATCTAATTTATGTTGTTCGGAGTGCTAATTTGTGGTTCAAACTAATCTCTAGTAACGTGAACGTATTGCCATGAATAATTACTGCTTTGTTCTGTTGAAATCATTTTGAATCCACTCCCTCTGAGATGTTTGCATTAATCATTTGAATTGAACGTTGCAGATGCGACCAGTGAACCCGTATCCCACATATGCACGATATTCGAAGAAATCTTTCGATGAATTTGGTCCTACTGGGAGAGCTCCACCAATGCGATCGTTGAGCGTTGATAGTGCCACAACAGCGCATCAATTTGAAGATATTATGCAACCTTCTCAAGCCTCGTTCTCGCACCAAACTCTTTCTGAGCACGTCAGCGATATCGTTTCGCATCGATCTGATCAATAAACATTTATCTGCTTACTTCTGCTAATCACATCAATAATCGAATCAAAATGATTTCGTGCAGGAGCTTTTCTAAGTCACCTTTTTTAAGCAAAATTTCCGTTGAAAACATCGATGAGGAGGTTATTTTGATGATGTATTCTCGAATAAATATTCTATTTTTTGTTAGTTGTCTGCAGATAAAGAGCGCATTCTTTCTCAGCAGCGAATGCATGTTTAGTGATTGTCAACAACATTAGCAATCTTTTTAGCTGAACGAGTGTTATCAAACGTATCACATTCGACCAAGAGGATTGGGAAAATTCCCAAAAAATTTCATGAGGTGTTAGATGACGTTTCAGTATGTAATAGCAACAGCACCGGAGACGTTTTTAATCCTACACCGGTTATAGCGAAGAGATGATAAGAAAAATTAACAAGGAATTAATTTCACATGGCTAATCCGATTGAAATAAGAGCACATTCATCATTTTTTAATCATCAACATTGAATTTTGATCTTTATGCTCGTCGAGTTTGCTTCTTTTTTTCTTCGCTCAATTGATATAATACCTTAGACATGGAGTGATAGCCAGTGCCGCGAACTGCTTGATCAGAGCACTTCTGAGCGAATAATTTCCATGCGAATAGCACAGTTTTTGATGAGTAGATGAATTTTTTCAGAAAGGAATTGCTGAGAAAATAGTGCTTTGATAATTCTGTTTGTTAAGTGGTGAGGGCCAAAATGATGCAACGATACTGATAAGAAGTAATGTGATATGTAAGTGGTGTAAACACGCAATATTTGCCTTCATTTTAGGCTTGCGTTAGTGCCGCATAGCTAGCTATTCGTTGATATGAGAGTGAGAGAAACGTTTCAGAATGGGATTCGAATTCCGAAAACTGCACATTGCTTCATTGTTCCTCATTGTTTTAAGTTCATCTGTAGAATTGCGATATTCTCTCCATTTAGCAGAATTATGATCTTTGGCAAGAAAGAAGCGAACGTCTCCATTCCGACTTCGCAACTCATGGAAGCTGATAGTGCTTATACGCTATAGTTACTGCCCGTTAAATTTTCCCTGTATCTCCTCCCAGAATTCTTCGCTGAATAAGAAATTATCTAAGCAAACAAACGACTTTAGAATCCGTCATAATTCCCACTCTTCCTCTTTTTTGCTCCTTTAATGCCTCAGTCATTCGAGGCTCAACTATAGCGAAACACTATTCATAAATACTTAGCAATCGATACAACGGGAAGTTAATGTTGACCTGTTTAAACTGATAAGAGAAAGTTATTCGTGTCCAATTGGAGTTTCAGCTCCTTTGTTTCCTCAGCTCAGTCGATTCACTGCCTATCATTTGGACGTACCAATATTATTCAACTGCATTCCTAGTGCTGACTTCTTCCATCGATTACGAAACCGCCATTGTGCATAGTCATTATGGCCCATGAGGATAGTAATAACAGCGCTTGATTGCANTTGATTTTGATTCACCTGAGTTATGTGATGGCTTCAATGGAAGGTGAGCACAAACCAAAGCGCTATGAAATGGCTTCATTTAATTGGGAAGAAGTGAGTATGCCGATGACTATATCGATATGGCTATTTGTGGCCGCAGTCGCTAAACTCCGTCAGTCCTTTTTTGTCAGTGATTCCATTTGAATGAAGAAGTTTTACTGGTGACCAGGCAAGGGTGGATAGTCACGATCGAATTGTTCTATGAATAGATCAACAAATTAAGAGGAAAATATACTCACTGAATTGGAGAGAATGTCTTTGAATTTAGTACTTCTTCAATCACCTCTCGATCCAACTACTAACTGTGAACGATCCAACGAATGAGTGAATAAATGTAAACTAAATTTCAAGTGTTCCACATTTGGCCACAAGTCTCGGAGATGTTCCCAGACAGTTCTCTGTTGATTATGGTTGGTCTGGTGATTGGAATCGCTTTGAATTTAATACATGTTCATAAGACCGATTTCTCACTGAATTCACAAGTGTTCTTTCTTTACTTATTACCGCCACTGATGTTCGATGCAGGTTTGTTCAATTTTTTTACACTGGTACTATGTTGTGGAAGCTTGTGATGATATGATTGCACATTTGCTTAAGAAAACATGGAAGGGAAGTTTACTGGAATCGTTTTGAATGGAATTTCAATGAGGAATGTACTCATCAATGAACAAGCTCTGATTTTCAGCGGTCGTTCATTTTGAGCCTATTTGAGAGCAAGAGAAGGACGAACTAGAATTCTGAACTCAGATCTGATCATAACCTTCGATCAAATCGCCTATGCTCCCTCTGTTATCTCTTGAACTGTTCTTGTGAATTAATTTCAGGATATTCTATGCCAGCAAGAGAATTCTTCGATAATCTTGGCTCGATTCTAACCTTTGCTATCATCGGCACCACATTTAATTTCGTTGCGATTGGTATGTTGTGATGTTTTTTTCACTGCAATTTCATCAAAATTTCGACATCAGACGCTTTGCGTAGCCCAAATAATCATGCAGTTCAGACTGTTATGAGCAATCAATCTAGTATTGGATGAGGCAATGAGTTGGATTTCAGGTGTGTCGTTGTGGGCAGTTGGTCAGACTGGTTTATTTGATTTGGAAATGCCGTTCTTGCATTATCTTCTGTTTGGATCATTGATCGCTGATGTTGACCCAGTGGCCGTTATCGTTATTTTTGAGGAGATGCATGTAAAAATTGCTATTTCCTAAATTTCTGAAAGGGATTCACACTTTTTCACTCTGTTCAACCACTGTTCGGAGTTGAAATCACACAGTAAAGTCAAACAAATTGTCATGCAATCTATGATTCAATGAAATACAAACTCCGAATACATCTCGCACATTCAGTTAATGCGATCAGATTAGATGTTCGATAGTTGGGCAGTTTCTGAGCGTATGTTAATCTTACAGGTTAACGATGTTTTGTATATAGCTGTTTTTGGAGAATCTATATTGAACGATGGTGTTTCAGTTGTACGTTTTCAATTTTCTATTCTATTTTTCAGATTTTTTTAAACTTTAAAGTATTTTCACCAATTCTCGTCTCTCAGAAGCATTCGGAATTCACATCATCAAAAAAATGGGTAACATATCGATCAGCAAATTTCAGGTTTACTATCGATCGTTGTTGGCATTCACTGAAATTGGAGCTGAAAATATAATCACGCGTGATTACGTTTACGGTGTTCTTAGCTTCTTCATTGTTGGCTTCGGTGGTATAATTCTGGGGCTGCTTTGGGCTTTTGCGGCCAGCTTTATGACCAAGCCAGTTTCATTTTCATATTTTCAGTCTGCCCCTCAGTCATTAGAATCTTTCAGCTCTGCTCTAAAGTGTCGCAATCAATGAAGAGAAACTACTGTGATCAGTAAGAAATCGAGTTCAGTGGGAAATATTCCAATTCGCTTGTAAATCTGGTAGAAAGAACGCAACTAACATATGGGGAATGGCTTGTTTGATGAAGAAACCGAACGTGAGACCAACTAGAAATGTTTTCAGATATACGACGAATGCAACAATTGTGAATCCTGTGCTGGTGTTATTGTGTCCATATTTGGCTTATTTGATGTGTGAACTATTTGGACTGTCATCAATTTTGGGGTAATGCGTCTCAGTTCAAAATGTTATTTGCATCCAAAACGTTGCCGTATGTTCAACGTACAAAACAGACCTTAGAGATTCGAAATTCAGTGTATTACAAAACTAAAATTTTAGGATTGCTTTCTGTGGTTGCGCAATGAAACAGTACATCAAAGAGAACGTTCCTGAAAAATCAATGACAGCCATCAATTATTTTGCTAAGGTATTCATCTCTTCTCGAATGTGGTTCACAAGACATCTTTGAATTGTGCTCGCTCATAGTAAACTAATCAATTTATCAGGTGTTATCACTAGCATCCGAAACGCTCATATTTGTATTCCTTGGACTGTCAACTGTCTCGAGTGATCATCACTGGAATAGTCCGTTCATTATTTTGACTGTTGTATTTTGCATCGTTTACAGAACGCTTGGTAAGCATCTTAAAGCAATGTTCGTTGTATCACTTGTAAAAGTGACTCGAAATGACCACATAGTATACGATAGACAATCTTGATCTGCAGTCAGTCGTCTTCAGTTAAACCATTTCCTCCACTTCCAGGTGTGGCCGTCATGTGCTATTTTCTCAATAAGGGGCGACTGAGGAAATACACAAAAGTTGAGCAATTTATTATGTGTAAGTCGAGCAATTCAAAAGTCATATTCAAAGTCTTCTCGAAAATGTGAACACCACAATTTATACAGTTCTTGTGTTAATCAAAGTCCAGCTGGCTTGCCAATCTCGGAAAACTAATGAAAACTGTTCTAGCATACGGTGGTTTAAGAGGGGCGATTGCATACGGCTTAGTGGCTGCATTACCGGATCATTTACCTGGAAAGCGAATGTTTGTCACTTCGTGTATTATTATCATCTATTGGACAGTGTTTCTTCAGGTAGTTTTCCTCTTCCATTAACATTTTGAGCCTTTAGAGATCAGTTTTGTAGATTTAGCCGACATTTTAGCCAGTTCCTTGAAATGAGATGATTAAAAGTCAATGTAGATTGTGACTTCTTACAGATGGTTGATGACAAGGAATGACAACGAGAGAGGAATTTAAGAAGGTGAACCTATTTCAGGGCCTAACACTACGACCGATCGCAACGTTTCTAGCAGTGGAACGAAAGGATGTTTCTGAGAAGAACATGACTGAATATATCTATCAGAATGTGAGGAATTTACATCAGTTTATTCGAATTCCATTTGAGTTAACAGTTTTCGATTGGTTTTTTGTCTACATCACAGGTGAACATTATTGAGAATATGATATATCAAGGTGGTGTTGCGCAACATCGAAATACGTAAATATATCATATAGCGCGAAATATCTCGGATGCTCATTATTTGAATTGCTAGTCTTATTTTTATCATATGTGCAAATTAACTGTCTGTTATTATTCCTTATGCAAATTAATTGAATATTTGCAGTTGATCGACTACACAATGTCAGGGATGGAAGATATCGCTGGTATGACTGGACATCATACAGTGAGAAATTGGTCAGCTACATTATCAGCAACTGTTTCCTCAATGATTTCTTAGTATCGCAATGATTACAATCTGCTTCTGGTTCAAGAGAGTCAGTGATATGCTGAAAATGATGTCGGTAGAGAAATATTATTTCAAGGTACAATAAATTCAATCGAAGATTCCTGAAACCATGGTTGCTGAAGCGGGGAGCGCGAAAGAAGATGGATAATTCGAATATTGTGCGGGCTTATAAGCGAATTCGAAAACGTGAAGCTGAAGATTTGTTGAAAGGAGCCGATCTAACGCAGAACCAGTTGTTCGTTGAAGCGCTACTGAGGCATGTTCGAAAGTAGGTGCTTCACCAGTTCGACATTCATCCAATTTTCTTCATTATTATCTGTTTGTTTTGAGTTCGGAAATCGACTGTTTTTTTGGAAAGATAAATTAATAAACTAAAGATATATCAGTGAAGAGTTACGTGGGTTCACTAACTTTAATCACTACTTTGAGTTTATTCAGAATAGGTTTTTCACGATAGATCAAAGTCGAGTGAAGTGGTAGATCAAAAAACGATCGAAAGTCTGATTCTATTTGCCATTAGCACAAAATTAGAATGCCCAACAACATAGTCAGAGTTCCGAATCATATTGTTCTGATGTTTAAGTTTTGATCAGCAGAGCACATTTAAGTCGAGCCGATTCACGATCTCGGGGCAACACGGTTTCATCATTACCGAATGAAAGTGCAATTCGAGAGCACGACAGTATGGATGGCTCATTGTTCATTGAGAACCCAGCATATCTTTTGGTTAACGAACTGAGTGAGGTCGGTGCTGTGGACATTCCGGATCCGGAATATGATCCTGTCGATTCAACACAAAGTGATTTACCGTCGTCATCGCTGAATAACCGAGTATTTGTTGTCCTTATATTCATTCAACATTTCCATTACCGACTTCATTTACACATCTCAAGCACAATCCATTCTACGGTGACGGAATGAGATTGTTCGATTTTCTTGACTCAGTCCCAGTGCACGTGATTGAAAGCACTAGTGTTTTAAATCAGTGGCATCAATGATCCTTGTTGTTCGTATTGTTTTGTCGTTTGTTGTAGGAGGTGTACGTCAAAATCGATAAGATCAGCTGAATCGACCCGGTGGAATACTTTGAAAGGCGGCTGGCATAATTCTGAATATTAATTGATTTTGATGATAAACAATTTGTATGAATGATATGTTTTGATGATCGTTACTATAATATATCTGAGCTAAGCTCCTGAAAGTGAGACAACAACATTATTGATGGTGCAAACGCTATACATAATGCAGAATAAGTGAAATGAAATTCACCTGAAGGTGAAAATCTTTCAGTCTCACAAATTATTCAAATTGACCTTCAGTCCTGCTATTCCACGCAGTCATGTTACGAATCAACTATGTGTATGCGTTTGCGGCGATTTCCTGTTCTGTTTCTTGAGGAGATTGTTCTTAAGAAGTGATCCGAGTTGATCTATTAAGCAATACCAACTGGTGATTTGTCCTAATGCAGTTTCCATCCTTTAGCTGAAGGATGAATTGAAATTGAAATGGAAGAAAGATGATAAGTACATTTTTTAATGACCGCAAAACATAAAACTATGGTATCTCTAGTGGGTCCCATAAGGGCGGTCGAAAATCTGGTAGAGTATGAAATACTGCTGGGTGGGGAAGTTTCCAGGGCTTGATCGCAAATGTGAGCTTAACTCTGAGGCCAGACAATAGCTCAAGCCTAGAGTTCAATCTCAAGATAGGTATTCGATTCCACCTGATTTTCAGGCATAAATGGATAAGAGGAACAAACAATGTAAATTTGGCTTCGTTTTAATATTCGTAACCTTACACTGCTTTACAATTGGCTTCGTTCCAGGAGCGGGAATTTAAAAATTCTAGAAATGAACGTCACAGTCACCCCACCCTGACCGTTTTGGAAGGAGGTCCACTGACCGCTGGACGGGTGCCGAAGTGCCGTTTCCCGACCGGGGACCCCAGAAAAGAAAAGCCCGACTTCCATTTCAACGTATCTTCGGGTAAAAGACGTCTTATCAGCCCTGAGTATTCCGAGCTGACAAGCCATTTACTACCCGAAGCACCAGAGCGATGG